AGGACATCATCTGCAAAAAGGAGATGGGAAAGTACCGGGCCTTCCCTGTTAAGCTTCAGTCCAGTAAGAGTCCCCTCTTGAATTGCATTTGTGATCATAGCAGTTAGCAGCTCGGCCACAATAAGAAAGACATAGGGGAACAGTGGGTCCCCTTGTCTAATTCCTCTTGTTGGGAAGATATCTTTGCTGATGGAGCCATTAATCTTGAAAGCAAGGGATGATGTGGAGAGGCAGGCCATTATCAGTTTGACAAAGGAAGGATGAAATCCCATTTTCAGCATGATTTCTTGAAGACTTTGCCACTCTATTCTATCAAAAGCCTTCATTAAATCCAGTTTCAAAGCCATAAAATAGTTTTTGCCACTTCTGTGTCTACTGAGAAAATGGAAGACTTCTTGTGCTATAATCACATTGTCTAAAAGCTGGCAGCCTTTTAAAAAAGCAGATTGGCAAGAATTGATACAAGGGTCCAAACAAGCTTGTAATCTGAGGGCTAACAGTTTAGAAATGATCTTGTAAATAACACTACAAAGGCTTATGGGTCTGAATTGCCCAATGGTGTCTGGAGCTTTGCATTTGGGAATTAAAGTGACAATGGTTTTGTTCCAATATTTGAGAATCATGCCTGAGGAGAAGAAGCTTGTAATACCTGCTATGAGGTCAGCTTTAATGATTTGCCAGCAGTTTTGGTAGAATATTGGGCTCATTCCTTCTTCACCAGGGGCTTTTTCAGGAGAAAGGCTGAAAAGTGCTGTATGGATTTCCTCCTCTTCAACTGGTTTGATAAGTTCAGCATTCATCTCTGGAGTGATGGTTTTTGGGATCAGTGGTAATAGATTCTCCCCACCTCTGGATCCCTCTGAAGTAAAAAGGCCAGTATAGAAATCAGTGATATGGTCTGAGATGTCAGAAATGGAGTGAAGGATTCTGTGGTTGCTGTCAATGAGTCTGGTTATGGAGTTCATTTTCCTCCGTTGTCTCACAAAAGCATGGAAGAATTTTGTGTTTCCATCTCCAAGTTTCAACCAGGTGGTTCTGGCCTTTTGGTGCCAATATTGTTCTTCTTGACTGTGAGCTTCATTCAGCTTTCTTCTAGTTGTGTCCCATGCTTCCCAATCATTTTCAATGCCTGCAGTTCTCAGATTCTCCATTTGAGATGAGAGGTCATTGATTTTTTGGGTTCTTTGTGATCTGAATTGAGAGCTCCATTGCAGAAGAGCAATTCTTGTGTTTTTGATCTTTTCCTTTAGATTAAAAAGAGGGGTGCCTTGAGTAGGAATGGACCAAGCTGAGAGAACCACTTCTTTAAAACCATCTATCTTCAACCATCTTGTGTCGAAGGAAAATCTTTTCTTTATTCTGGTCTGGCTGGTTCCTGAGTTTAGAATAAGCATTGAGTGGTCTGAAGCTCCTTTGATCTCAGTACTGACAGAGGCATTAGGGTGTTGTTCAGTCCAAGCTAGAGAGGCAAAAGCACGGTCCAGCTTCTCTTCAACAAATCCTTCAGAATCTCTATTATTTGCCCATGTGAATGGATGTCCCTGCATTTGAAGTTCTTCCATATCCATATTATAGATGAATTCATTGAAACCCTTCAAGCTATTGCTACACCTAATTCTACCTCCCCTTTTTTCCTCTTTAAAGCATATGTCATTCCAATCCCCTATTATAAACCAACTATCTCCCTATTTTTCTTTTTCACTGATCAATTCAGCCCATTGACTCTCCCTAGTGGTTTTATCAGTGCTAAGATATACAAAGATTCCCCATTTAGAACTACTATCCCCCATTTGAAATTCAACAGCTATGAAAAAGTTACTACTGCAAACTTGCAAAATTTGAATATCACTGTTCCAAAAGAGTACAAGCCCTCCACTTTTGCCACGAGGGTTTACAATTACACAGCAATCTTCAAAACCTAATTTTTTACCTACCGATTTAACAAAACCATTACAATTTTTAGTTTCTGAAAGAAAAAGAAAGTCTGGGTGATGAGCCTTGCAGGTCTCTCGAATTTGGGAAATTGTAGAGGGCCCACCCAGCCCTCTACAATTCCACACCGCAGCTATCATTGATTGATTGGGTGCCATTCGAGGCTGGCATCCCCCACCTTTTCCGTAGTAACCTTCAATTTTTTGCTGTCCTCTTTTTTTGGAATTTGATCTTTGTTTTCTGAAATGGTGATCTCCAACTCTGCTCTACTTCTTTTGTTGTTGATGTCAGTAATGCATAGCATAGAGCTGTCTTCCTCTTGCCTTTGAAGTCTGCCTGCTTTTGAAGTGGCTCTTTTCCAGGATTTGGTTTTAGGAATCAAAGCTTTGGAGGTGTTGGTTGATGACTGAGGGATTTGAGGGTGGTGGCTTGTTATGGTTGTGGTGTTGTGATGATAGGGTGTTGTGATAACTGGCTCAGAATGTTCAATAAGCATGAGGGTAGTGTTTGGTTGATTAAGAATTGAGTCTGAGTTGGAAACATCTGTTGGTATATTGCAGGTTTTAGGAATGTGAGGGAGTATGTCTTTTGATGAGGATTCACCTTGAATAGGAGTGAAGTGGTTGCTACCTTCAGTTGGTTCAGAGGTTGTTCTTTGAGTGTTGATTTGTTCTGGAGGAGGGGACTGAGAGTATGGTGGTGAATTTTTGTTATTAGGGGAGTAGAACCCGGCCCAATTGTTGTTGTCAGGAGCTTTCATCCAGTCTCCATACTGCCCTTCAAGAACTGAGTTTGATTTGATGTCCTCTATTCTTTTGGTACATCCTCTATCCAAATGTCCTATATGGCCGCAATAGTGACAGTGGTTAATGAGCCTTTCATATTTGAAACTTACACTCACTTCTTTATCATCCAATCTGAGATTTGCACAACGGGGTAAGGCCTTCTTCAAATCCACTGTCACCAACAAGCGCATAAGCTTTCCACCATGGCTACCAGCACCAACCACCACTACATTGTTTAAGCGTTTGAACACTCTACCTATTTTCAAACCAACATCAGTACTCAACCAGTTGATAGGTAAGTTGAAGATCTGTACCCAAATGTTGAGCTCTGAGAAGCTTTGGTGATTGATTAATAGACCATCCTGCCATTCTGCTAGTATCATGTATTGATTATCGAAGATCCAATTGGTGCCCTTACTTACTCTTTCAAGATCCTCTCTGTTTTGAAATATGAATTGAAAGTAGTTTGGCCCCAATTCTTTAACTTCCATAGCTTGTTGGATTCTCCATATATTACTCATGGTACGCTTAATCCCTATCCAACTGGCCCTTCTGTCTCCGATAATTTTTCCGAACAAGTTGCGGTTGCATTCCTCTGCGCTGAGTTTAATGTCGTCATGTGCTAGGTCAATGAAGTTGTGCTCGCATTCGGATAGCGAGAATCCTTGCATTCCTTTCGATAGTTCATCGTCTTGGCCGACACAGATTGGGTTGCTCATGAGGTCGATGAACCCTAGATTGATTCAGGTGGTTTTGGAGAAGGGAATATAGAGTATAGAAAGATTGATTAGGAGAAGAAAACAGGAAATAGCATTGATTGAGATCAATTTTGGTACCCAGGAAATCCACGAGAATCGCTCTCCAAGAGAGAATCAAATCGCTCTCCAAGAGAGAATTCAAAAATAATAAAAAAAAAAAATGAAAATATTTAAATAAATAATATATTATTATTATAGACTTTATAGTATCTAAAATAATTTAATAATATTTAAAATAAAATATTTTTATACTATACACTGTGCATCGCACGAGTAGCAACACTAATTAAGATTAAAGAGACATTATTCAAACATTTTTTTATTCAATTTTAAATTTCTGACAATTTAATTCAGATTGCTCATTTAACATTTCTAATATAGTTAAATCTTGATGAATGATGAACATCATCAACAATGCTTTAAGTCTACATGTCATGTAGGAAATAGACTCAATGTCGAAAAAGATGTTTTCCAATGTAATTGAAAAGTGGCTCAATCTTTAAATAGAGACCCGATATAACCTTAACTCTAATTTAAAATTAAGTAGAGACCTAATCACTTTATATCGGAACGGTGTACCTTTAAGTCTAATAGACTCATGTAGAGATATAATCTTATTGCATTGAAACGATTTTTACTATTTCTATTTGGTTTTATCCAAGTTATCCAAAACATCTATTCAAGATTTGAGTTCATTTACGCGTCACACACAAATAAAATTAATCCGAAACATTGTTGATGCTCTTCGGCAGTTGCTCCGATAAATTTAGTTGGCCTGCTGCAAATTGTACTGTATTATTGTCCAGTTTTCTTTACGACGTGGAAGACAAAAACTCTATTGGACCACTATAGGGTAATTATTTAAAGTCAAGTGGCTGGGAATTTATAAGTGGAGAAACAAGTGGAGTACAAACTGATGAAATGGCTTTCTATTCAGGTGTTGAATCATAACACATAATGCTGCATTATCAGACTTGAACTGGAGGGGGCAATTGGTGTGATAAAGAAACTTAGGGGCGCTTGTTTATGGAATAATTTGTTAAAAATGAGTTATTTTGGTTAATCATAGTTAATTTTGAAAAAGGTTGTATGGTTAGTTGTTAGTGGAATTTTAAGAATATATTAAAATAATATTTAAAATAAAATGATTAAAATTGATTTGATGTAAAAGTAGGAGATAAATGATTGGAAATGATAGGTAATTAAAATTATGTGAGTGGATGAATAGTGAATTAAAGGTGATGTGATGTGTAAGGATGATTGGTTTGTATAATTTAATTATATGAATAATATTAAAGATAGTGGAATTGAGTTAAAATTGAATTAAATTTTGAGTATGAATTGAATGAGAATGAAATAATTTGTAAACAAGCATGCCCTTATACTCCTGTATGCACTTACATAAAGATAATTGGTGTTCATAGACTAAGTTTAGTTAGTATTGCCTTAGTATATCTCCTGTTACACAAATAAATAATGATAATTACTGTTGATAGACTAGTTTATAAAATTTGTGTCATGATAATTACTGTTGATGCGAACAGATACGAACTGGAAGTCCTTTCTCTGGCGTGGGTATCGGGTCACATATTATCCTCTCTTCAGGGATTAATATATCCCATCTAAACCTTGGAATGAGATTGTGAAGAAAAGTGAGAATCTCCAATCGAGCAAACTCTTTACCTAGGCACATTCGAGGCCCTCCTCCGAAAGGAACAAAAGAATAAGGGATAGCACTGCAATTATCAAATCTCGTGGGATCGAATTTCTTCTCGTCTCGAAATAAGCTCGAATCTGTATGCGTTGTTTGCGCATTCCAGTAGAACTGTTATCACAAAAGACATAGTTAAAAAATGAGTAAATTGTAATTTTAGTCTTATATGTTTCACTATCTTAGTTTTTTCGTCCTTTTCGAATTTCGTTTTTCATTTTCGTCCCGTATATTTGCAAAATAAGGTTCCAAATTCGTCCCTTATGTATATATGAAAATGACCTTTTTGTAACTTTTTGCAAACATACAGGACGAAAATCAAAAATAAAATTCGAAGAGGACGAAAAAGTTAGGGTAGTGAAACAAACAAGACTAAAATTGCAATTTACTCGTTAAAAAATAGTACCGCGAAAATCGTCAATCAACCATAAGATAAAAATCTTTAAGAAGTAGAGAAAAACCCACCTTCCATCCTTTTGGTATGGTATAACCTTCATAGTTTATATCGACTAAAGCTTCTCGAAAGCCACCTGTTATAGGCGGCCATAGTCTTGTAGTTTCGCACACCACATTCCATGAGTACTTCATCTTCTGAATATCTTCCCATTGAAGAAATTCTCCTGGGTCCTTTGATGCCACAATTTCATTTTGCTCTGCTTTCAAACAGTCAAGAATAAAATTTTTTCTACATGAATACATAATTTTGATGAGAAAAGTTTGTAATGAGTTGTAACTTAACAAACCTCTCAACACCTCTTCGTAGACCTGTGGATGTTGTGCCAGAACTTTAATGAGCATTGTTAACAAACAACTCGAAGTGTCGTGGCCAGCAAATAGTAACATTAGTATGTTGTTCACTATAACTGATTCGGACATAAATTTCCCACTCTCGTCGGGTGTGACGAGTAAATGAGACAAAAGGTCCTGCGAAGGTGAAGCCGTTTTTTGCTCCAAATCCTTACTCCTTTGCCGGATAATTATTTTGAGCTCTTTCTTAATAGCAACAGTTGCCTTCTTGGCATAGTAGAATTTGGTCCCCGGAAAATCGAGAGGGATAGAAATGACTCCCCCAAGAAAAACTCGGAAGAGGGCAGCCAGCTTCTCGATAGTTGACGGGTCGTGAATACTCATAAACAATCGACACGCGAGCTCGAACGTGTACTGCTTCATCGCGGGGAACACTTTCAACTCCTCTTTACCTTGAGAGGCAAGTAATAGTATATTACAAATCTATGCTAGCAATACATTTAATAAAACTCTTCAAGTTTCCTCTCCATTTTCGGTTACTTTTTTCATTAATTGAGTATCTAGATTTTTTTTATTTATTTTATTATATAACATCTACTACTAACAAATCATAAAGTCACATTAAATGATACTCTAATCTATTTTTTTTTTCAAACTATTTAATTAAAACTATTATTTCTTTTTTTTTTTTATTTTAACTCATTAAGCAAGTTTTTTCGTACACAATTGCTCTAATAGTAATTCTAATATTGTTTTATCTAATTGAATTGTTCAAAATCAATAGGGAATGCAAAAATTATATTATGTATTGCAATTGATATAAAGATTAATATGTAAGTTAATAGTTCATATTTATTTCGTTTATTTTTACTAACGATAAAATCTATAAAATGTGATATGCTCAATATTACCTAATGTATGATTTTAAATATTACATACACATGTAACATATGCAAAATTCTATTTGCATCTGTGCATATCCACAGGATTGAATACTAGTGATGAAAGAAAGAAAGAAAGTTTGGACAAAATTGCAGTTTTAGTCCTACTGGTTTGATCCCGTGGCGTTTTTAGACCTAAGAATTGAACATTTTGCTATTTGGTCTTATAATTTTAAATTTCAACGCAATTTCAGTGATTTGTAACTGAAATTGCAACAAAATTTCAAAGTCATGTACTTAAATTGCTAATAAAAAATCTTTGAGATGGATTTGTTATTAGCAATTTAAGTCTTGTAATTTCAAATTTTGTTGCAATTTCACTCACAAAGGACTGAAAATTGCAGCAAAATGCGAAATTACAGGATCAAAAGACAAAAAATTGAAACTTTAGGACTAAAAACGCCACTGAATCAAACCAGCAGAGCTAAAATGCAATTTTGCCGAAAGTTAATATAAAAAATTAAGTTTGAGCTATAACCTTGCCACTGAGCGTCCAAATGTTGGCGAGAAACGAGATCCATTGTCCTTATGTAGAGTTTTGAAAAGGCATCGGGGCTAACAAAGTATGAAAGGGTCTTCCTCATGTGCATGCCTTGTTCACGTCCGGTGGTCGTCAAACATTTTCCGAGCAGCTTTCTTACAGAAGCCGGCCACCAAAGAGTGACCATTTTATTCTCATTGCTGAACAAAAATTTGTTACCGGCCGTCCCACTTAGCACAGCCATAGGCTCCCCAAGGAGTGAAGTCTTAAACACCTGACTCGAGTACTTTTCCGTTCTCTCTTTGATGAATTTTTCGGTTGATCCTTGTCTTAGGGAATCGAGAAACTCTAGCGTCTCACCAATAAACGGCCATCCGAAGCTGCCAGGAGGGAGGTTTATTACACCCTTTTTGGTCTTGAACAAGATTATTGTTATTACGAACAATAAAGCTAGGAACAAGAAAGATGTGTTGATGTGAGAATACTCCATAATATTCATTTGATTTGTGCAGGAGTTACTACCCAGGGTTGGGGGATTATTATATGGTTCTAATTCGAGAAAACAAAGAATATCATTTATGGGGAATAGTACGTGCTTCATCACCATCCATATGTTGACCCTTCATACTTTTATTTAATTTTATTTTATTTATTAATTACCTATATGCATCTTAAAAGCTATAATTATTACCTGTACATATATGCGTCCTTTTCAGTTGGTAAGATCCACATTTTGAATCACACAATGGGGATCGGCTAGCATAGTGGTCCAACTGGATTTGTGACCACAAAAACCTCTCAAAAGTTGAATCTTACCACTACGCATCCGGTTATGCAATTGACAACATTATCTTGGACTCTTACGCCATTTATTGTCTTTATGTTTTCAATTAAATACGCATTATTTATGAATTAAATGCATAGTCAAAATATGCAATTGACAGAATATCTTGGAGCCTAACTACAACTATTGTCTCTATGTTGACTGTAATAATTTGATTTTTGGCATTAAATCGAAAATTCCAAATAAGTATTTAATATTGTTTGTTATTGTAGGCAAATTCAGAAAACCACTTGAAGATAAAGGGAGAATCAATATCTTATTATTTCCAATATAAATTTTTACTACTACCATTCTTGAGCTTATTAATCCATCTATTTATGTAGGCAAGCAAGAATCGTGGAACTTTACCATACATAGAGGTAAGCAAAATCAGCTTGAGGGAGACCCACGGACAAAAGGGAAATTATCTTACTTAGAGATGAAAGAGATGCGCGGACAAAAGGGAACTTACTTTGCATAGAGGAGCGAGAAGGGGTGGTTCGATTGGAAGAACTTGGACAAACGCACTTACCTAAGTGAATATAGCGATTATTTGGAAAGTTGTTGAATAACCTACTTACTTGTACAACCTTGTATTTAGTTTGCACGCTCTCTAGTTTTATGTTGTCGTTCATCATCTCAGACATTAGCGTGCGAGAGAGCTTGAGAGAAGTCTTCGTTTATTTTTATTTGCTTGTGCAAGTGACCAAAGTAGAGTGAATTTAACTCTGATTTGAGTCACATGATTTGTAATAATCTTCTCGGTGCTTGGGATGAACACCTTTCATATAACAAAGGTATCTGTGTAGTAAACAAAGTCTACGCAAAGGTACTTGTAATAACTCCCCAAATTTCAATTGGTAATAGAGCAGGCTATCATTCATTTCTATGAAGATCATGTAGACTTGTACTTGGGCAATCATGAATCACGACGGTGGATCCATGTCAAGACCTCCACAACTAGATGGCTCAAATTATTCTTAATAGAAATTGATGATGACTAATCTCATTGCGTTCCTTGGGAAAAGGAGCATGAGAAAGCGTGGAAAATGGTTGGAAACATAGTGCAATGAGAAGATCACTAGATAGTGAGATACATGATGTAATCTATAAAATACCCAAACCAAGAGATACTTGGGCAGATTTGGAACGCATGCAAGAAGATGCCAACTTTTGAGCCCTATATGATAGATTTAATCTTATGTGAAAACCTCTATATCACAAGAGCATTCATATCGAATAATTAAGAATCAAACTGAATAGCGGAAGCGTACCTGATGGATTCATATCCATTGATTGTACTGAACTAGAATTGGGAATTGGGATTTTGAGATCTTCCAAAAGTCTGAGAACTATAATCTCTCTTTTTCGGATGCATCGAAGGAAAACTGATGGAGAGAGAGTTATGGGGCTTACGATTTTATTCTTCTCTACTTTATGAAGGATTCCAAAACATCCCCTTATATTTATCACGACTTTTGGGGACTCCACCCATTAATAATTTTGACCCAAATTATTTGCTAATAAGGTCACTTAAGTTTACTATTACTATTTGTTACATCATCAAATAATAATATTATCGGGTGTCCACATTACCATAGTTTAACTTAAGTTCTTTAGCAAATATAATTTATACAATAATTTGATCACCTAATTTGGCTAAACAATATAATGACCGACCCAATGTATCAAGTACACATATTTAATCCCAAAATAGATCAAACAATCTTCCACTAGATTAAATATGTGTCATGATAATACATTATACCTTATGAGCTCAAAATATGGTCATTATTACAGAACTTGAACACTCTAATCTATTAATCACAACAATATAGGACTAAAATAGTTTCGCCATATAGACATAATTAAACTATCAATAATCACGTATACCACTATGATTAAATGACATAGTTCAAACTGTGGAACATGTGACATGAGAATTAAACTATCAGTATGTGTCCTCGTTGATTTTGTAAGGTTAGGGTCCGGTCCCGTGACTCTTTTCAGGACTAACTCGCCAACCTGATAGGAGTGTGATTTCACTTGGGAGTTGATGTATCTCTCACTTTGCCATTTGTACGCAGCGTTTCTGAGCTCAGCTTGTGATCGAAGCTCGTCTATCAGGGCAAGATTTGCCCTTAGGGATTCTGAGTTTAAGTTTTCTTCAAAGCTGGTCACTCGGTAGGTAACAGCGCCGAGCTCGACCGAGATCATTACTTTTGATCCGTACGCGAGGGAGAAAGGCGTCTCCCCAGTGGACGACCTGGCCATGGTCCGATATGACCATAGTACTCCCAGAAGCTCGTCTGGCCAGGCCCCCTTAGCCATTTCAATCCAGACTTTAATCCCTTGCTTGATTATCTTGTTTATGGCTTTGACCTAACCGTACGACTATGGGTGATAGGGAGTAGAGAAAATGTGTTTGATATTGTGTTCCTCGCAAAATGCCTCCAGCTTTTTCCCTTCGAACCGTCTTTCGTGTCTGTGAATATGGAGTTCGGCACTCCAAACTGGCATATTATGGACTTTCATAGAAAATCGATCATCTTCAGCTCAGTAATGGTTGCCAGAGGCTTGGCTTCTGCCCACATTGTGAAGTAATCGACGGAGACGAAGGCGTATTTCACTCCTCCTTTGCCAGTCGGCATGGGACTGATTAGGTTGACTCCCCATTTTGCAAACGACCATGGGCTAAATATAGACTTTAAGGGCTGCGAGGGTTGAATGACGTTTGGCGCGAAGGCTTGACACTTAGCGCACTTTCGTGCCAAATTCAGGGCATCTTTCTTCAGGCTTGGCCAAAATAGCCTTGCCTTAAGACTTTGTGAGCGAACGCGTATCCTCCAGAGTGGGTTGCGTCAGACACCTTCATGGACTTCCTTTAACACGTACTCAGAGTCTTTCTCGCTCACGCAATTAAGTAGGGGTGTCGAATATCCCCGTTTAAACAATTCTCTAGCCAGATCATAAATCAAGCTACCCGTGTGCGAAGCTGTCTGGCCTCTTTTGGGTCAGACGACAATGCGCCGATCTCGAGATACAACCTAATCGGTTCCATCCAGGTCAAGTCTCTGTCATGTGCAGTTGGCTCGGCATTTAGCACGAAAGCGCCGACCACAGATGGTTCTTTCTTTATGTTCGACCTGGACGTATTCGACGTTTTCCATGCCAGTACGTGAAGCAAGTCGGGATAATGCGCCTGCTTGGACATTTTTTTTTTTATCTGGGCACGTGCTCCATTCGGATTTGAAATTTTGCCATCTTTTTCTTGACGAGGTTAAGGTATGGGACGATTCTGGGCTCTTTTACCTCGTACTCTTCAGAGATTTGCTTAACCATCAGCATTGAGCGGAATATATTACTAGGTCGGTTAGGCTCATGGTTTCTGCCAAGGCCAACCCGGACAACAATGACTCATATTCGGCTACATTATTCGTCGTCGGGAAGAGGTATTGGACTGAATGGCAGAACAACCTTTTCTGAGGGTCGATGAGAACGACACCTCTGCCCGCTCTTCCGGATCCCTCCGCCCGCTCTTCCGGTGGTGGAGGATTCATCCACGTACATCACCCATGCTCCTCGGCTGTGGTCTCTTCGACCCTCGACATAAACTCGGTGATGATGTCTACTAATACTTGCCCCTTCATTGTTGTTCGGGGTTGGTAGTTAATGTCGTGTTGCCCTAGCTCGACGACCCATTTTACCATTCGACCTGAAGTGTCGGGCCGGTGGAGAATCTATCTCAACGGGTAGGTGGTGAAGACGGTTATGGAGTATTCGAAGAAGTACGGTCTCAGTTTCTGAGATGCTGTTATGGGGGCGAAAGCTAGTTTTTCCATCGGCGCGTATCGCAGTTTGGTGTCGTGCAGTGCCTTGCTTACATAGTAGATGAGATGTTGGCATGATGCCTCTTCTCTGATGACGGCGGCGCTTATAGCGATTCCCATTACTCCTAAATATCAATACGAAATTTACCTTAGTCGAGGCTTCTACATTTTTGGAGCCCGGCTGAGGACGGCCTTGATGTTGCCTAATGCCCTTTGGCACTCGGGGATCCATTGAAACTTATGGTTTTTCTTGATGGCTTCAAATAATGGTTTGCACCGATCTATGGACTTAGATATGAATCGATTGAGGGAGGCGAGTTTTTCAGTCAGGCTTTGGACTCCCTTAATCAAAGTCGGCGGCCTGAGCTCTTGTATCACCTTTATTTTCTCGGGGTTGGTCTCCATGCCGCGCTGGCTAACAATGTAGCTCAAAAATTTACCTGAGCTGACCCCAAAAGTACATTTTTTCAGATCTAATTTCATGGAATTATCACGCAAAATGGAGTACATTTTATTATGATCATTAACATGGTCGGACAGACTTCACTAACATATCATCAACGTACACTTCCATACTAGCACCTATCCAATTAGCGAACATTTTATTAACTAAACGTTGATAGGTGGCCCCGACATTCTTCAACCCGAACAACATCATCTTGTAGCAGTACAACCCGTGCGCTGAGTAAAATGCGGCATGTTCTTCCTCATCTGGTGCATGGAAATTTGATTGTAGCTGGAGTACGCGTCCATGAAGCTCATTAGCTCGTGACTTGAGGTGGCGTCAACCATATAGTCGATGTGAGGGAGTGGGCAGCAGTGTTTTGGGCAGGCATTGTTCAGGTCAGAGAAATCGATGCATAGCCGCCATGCTCCACTTCTTTTGCTTACCTGTACGGGGTTGGCCACCCAGGTCAGATACTGAACTTCGCGGATGCATTCATTGTCTTTCAGCTTGATCACGTCCTCTTCGAGGGCT